CCTGTGCCTCCAGGTTTCCTGTGCGCACCGCGCACACCTTGGCTTCACACCCCGATCCTAAATTATAGAAAGGAGGGAGGCAGTCGGGAGCCTAAAACCTCCCCTTATCTCAAAACCACGCACATAGAGGTCTTGGCCTCATCCAGTCCTCGGCCAAGAGGAACCCTGTCTCTGCACCGTGTCATGGAAATTGCCATAGGGCCAACAGTGGGTGTGCTTGAACCTGCTGCTCCCCCAGCAGCCACCATCTCCCAAAGGTTTGCTTTTCAAAATGTGGGCGAGCATCAGGAGTGCTTGGGATGCTTTTGAAAATAGTCTCCTGGGCCCCACCCCACTCAGACCTGCCGAACAGGCCCCTCCAGTGGGAAAGCTGGGGGTCCGATGGTCAGCTACATCATGGGAATGCTTTCTTGGTGTGTTCACCTTTCCTTTCCTGTCTCTTTTCTGCTTTTCCCTGGTAGCTGACTAGAGCCATAACGTGACTTGTCTGGGGAACGAGATTGCTATCGGTGGAGCTCAGGGGTCTTCTCTCTGACCACGGATGGCTAGCCTATAAAATGCAAAGTTTGGGCCAGCTAATCCCCAAGGTCTTGTAGCTCTGGCACTGTAGCTCGATTCACCAGAACCCACATCTTGGAGATGGGCAGGCCCATGGTCCTTTCCCTGGTGCCTTCTGCCTGGTCTTTTCACTCACATTCCACTTCACCAGCTCCCTGGGGATGTTCCGTCCTTTGTCGTTATTGTTGATTTGTTAAAAATCAAGCCCCCAATTCTCTTTGTAGCTGCTTGAAGGTTTCAAAGTTTAACCAATCAAACAACACGAAATCTACTCATTTGTTCATGAGGTGCTGCCACAAATGTCCTACTCCAAAGGAAGAGACATTGTCCTTCCAATTCCATACTCAGAGAAACGATTGCTACATCACTGCTATTTGTGTCTGAGATGAAACGTCCAGAAAGGAAAAGCAGACAGACTTTCTAGTTTTCAGACACAAATAATAAGCACCTACTATGTGTCATGCCCATTTTAAATTCATGGTGTGCTGGGGAAGACGGGCAAGTCAGTGGAAGACAACCAAATCTTATGAGGAGTCTGCAGGTGCATTAGGAATGACAGAGGTTATAGCAACCATCTACCTGTCTGCCCACCTGTCCAACCAACCATCCATCCTATAATACATGCTGAGAGCTGACAGTGAGGACTTGGGATACAGGAGTGAGCAAAGCTGATGTGGGCCCTACCCCCACGGATCCTCTACTAATAGAGAAAGATGACATTAACCAAACTGTCACATGAACAAACGTATCACTAAAATCTGTGTTAAGAGTCACCTCTTCTAGGAAGTCTTCCCAGATACACACATCCTTCATGCCTAGACCCCATCATGCAATATGTCCTGCCAGTGTCTCTGCATTAGTAGCTTCTCTCTGTGAAGATCAGATTGTCAGACAGACGCTGGAAGCTTCCTGTTTGAATATAATCACAAGCTTGCACATTCGGTGCTCACTGGTCTTTGCATTAAGCTCTAAACTCAATTCACCAGAAAAATCTAGCTCACGCCCACTTCCCATCCAGGGCAGCTTGATTTAACCCGAAATAGTACTTTCAGATGCTGCAATACAAGTTCTCAACACCCAGACACTTTCGGAAACATTTAGAGTGAACATTTGATCAATTATTCAAGTCAAACAACACAGGAGCACCTCTCCTTTCTCTTTGTTTCTGGATAGGTATCTACCCGAGAGGATGCTGCCTTCTCCTGAAAACTGTTACCCAGGTTCTCACACCTCTCGATGCTGTCAACAAACAAAGACTCAAACCCCAGTGTCAGACTTACAGAGTCGTGAGGTCCAGCTTGCCTCCCCTTTCCTTTCGAGAGATGAGGTCCTTTATTCCTGCTTAAGCCCTGATCACCTCAAAGTTTTCCAAGATTTTCCCAAACTAGTGATTCCAATACTGTTAGCACTGCTTCCCTGATGTCAGAGGAAGCCGGAGACAGGTCTGCTGATGGATGTGCTAAGCAAACCCTTCCTCACTGAGCTTTGACAACAGCAGATTTGCAAAGGCAATCAGTACTTATTTTGTTGTTGTTAAAAATATAAAAAGGGAGACAGGCTCCTAATCACTGAAGAGGCATCACCCATTTCAAGCCCTGTTACATTGGACCTCTTCTTCCTCTCTTCATTTTAAAAGCAGCCTCTCCCTCAGAAGGCCAGAGCAGGGATCGTTTCCCCCCTGAAAAATCTCATTAAAAAAAAAGAAGAAAAAAAAAAGAACTGTAATCATTTACACTTGAGAAAGGATCCCCTTTTTGAGTAGCCAATAAGAACACAAGTGCCACAGCCATTTTATTGGAGGGCTCTAACATTCTCAAACGTTAGCCCGAGTCCAAACCACCTGGAAGGTTTACTGAGAAGCAGACTGCTGGATACCACCCTCAGAGTTCTGACTCAGCAGGTCTTGGGTGGGACCTGAGGATTTGTCACGTTTTTTTGTGTTTTTTTAAAAAATATATCTTTCTAAAAATTCAAATACCATTCTGAACACTCATGGTCCAAGAACATTTAACTAACAAACAAACAAAAAAAAAGAAAGAGATGTTAAAGACTGATCTTCAAACATTGTGCCAGTGATGCCACACTTGCCTATGATCTCACTGACAGAAAACCACATCCACACCTCAGAGGCCATCAAACCATTCGGGAGAGCTTCCTTAACTGTGCGCTGCTGGATGCTGCCAGTTTGGGCACTGTTATTTTTTTTTCAAGCTCTGAGTAGCTGTAGGGATCTCAGCAGGGGTTGGAGGCACCAGCTCCACCTTGGCATAGTGCCCAATGCGGCCAGTTGAAGCTTCGAG